AAAAAATCAGCATTCAAAAATGTATCGTATGTAAAATTTTTCAAATTTTCATAGATTATATACAAACTTTTCATCTTTTTTAAAAACAAGAGTGATTAAAAAATATTAATTGAGCAGTTTTCTATATTTTTTTTAATGTGTTGAGATAGGAAGTATGCGAGGAAAAAAGCGTTTCTCGTGGAAAAATTGCTTCAGAGTTTGCCAGCTTGGCACACTTAATGATGAATTGTCGATATTCTTTTTTCATAAGTTTTTTATTATTATTGTTATTCATAACATGTAACTGAAACTAAAAAATTGAAAATTTAAAAATGGTTTTCATACAGTAATGTTACATACAGTAAAGCTGTTATGTAAAATGGATATGATAATTAATGCATAAAAGGGGAAAAAACAATTTTCATATAGTTTGATTCTATTTACTGCATTTATCTACATTTTTATAGCGTGAATAATAAAAGTGTGTGTGCTCATGATAAATATAAAAATATAATGGCTTTTACATTTGGCAATACAATTAATTAATAGAAAATTTTAAAAGAAAATGACTTCCGCATTTTGTCATTGCAATTAAATAAATACAGGCACCTCACGCTTCTATTATTCGCAATATAAATCGGTAGGTGAATTATGTAACTTATTTGCTTAATTATTCCCTTAGTTGATTATTTGCATAATTCATTAATTATTGCATAGTTAATTATTTGTTTAGCTGTAAAATTAAGGAAACTAATTCGCATTTGCATCCTAAACAAAGAATTACGCTCTCTGTTAATTTTTATTTCTAAAATATGCCATAAAATTGAAACGAAGTAAAAGAAGTATTATAATCCCTATCATAATCACGAAAAATTTTGGGTATCATATTTCAACGAAAGTATCCAGTTTGACAGCTCTCGAATGCATTTGAATGAACTTTTTTGCTTAACATCTGTATGTACGGAGAGAATAAAGGACTCTTTTATTCCAGAACGGATGATGAATTGGATTTAAAATGGATTCAGAGGCGATTTTTTTTTTCGTGACGTCTGTACGTACGTCCGTACGTATCTATGCATCTCCATAAATCAGAAACGAGTATCTTCAGAATGTTGAAATTTTATGTATGGGACTCCTATAACATGTAGTTATGCAACTCCCCTTTTTGGTTACACCAAAAGGATATAAATATATATACCCACTCTGTTACTCGGCTTGGTGAGCTCAGTTGTTTTTATTTTCTTATATGTAGCTAAATTGTGTACTTTTTTGTTTTAAAAGTGATTGAATTATGCTGTTCTTCTGGTCCGGTTTAGGTTTTTATGCATTTAGTTAATCTACATTCAATAATTGTAGAATTATCAAAAATTTCAAAGTTTAAATGGTGCTAAACCTAAGGAGGATCCATTTTTTTACATTTCAAACTCTTAATAGAATAGTGTATTAAGTCAGTTTCTACAGCTTCAGTGCCTTTTTGTCGAGTGACGCCAAAAGTAAACTTTGAATTTTCTTGACCGAAAAATCTGCCTTCGTGCCAGCTGGCCAAATTGTTTGTTTTTGCGTAGAAACTCTAATTTTAAATGTAAAAATGGTTTTTAACTGCTTTAACTGTATTTGGTGTTTAATGTTTTTCTATATTTTTCAATTTTGAATGAAGCTGTTTTGAGTGTTTATGCATTTGTGCCTTGCTGCGAAGTGAGAACTGAATTAGTTGAATGAGAAATATATCTCTAATGAAGTTTGAGGAAATAAGTTTAAATAAAATGCAGGAAAATTTAATAGGCGGCACAAGAAAATCATATGGTGCCCATATCAGATTTTTTGACTGTCGCCACCAAGACGGGAATGCGGTTAGTGACTTTAAGTGCCGTACCGAAGGGCCCGGGCTTGAACCCCGTAGAAGGCATGGATGTAAATTGTTTGTCTCTTCATAGGAGGCAATGAAGGCCCACCTATTAGGTGCTCCCACCATAAGGTGACCACCGCTTCCGGCCTTTTTTCTTTGCAGTATTTGCATCTGTAAGAAATCCAAAAAAAAAAAAAAAAAAAAAAAAAAAAGTGTTATAAAACGAAAGAAAATCTAAAAGGATTCAGATTTTAACCTCGCACCAGAAGTAAACAGCAAATGAAAAATCGATTTTTTTCATTTTTTCAATATTTCCATTCTACGATTCATGTATGGCAAAATTGTAAAAATCGTTCCAGTAGTTTTTAAAAAATTAAAAATTAGCTCTCAAAATTTTAGCTTCTCAATTTTAATTTAGTATATATTTATTAAAACATCCTTTCTTTATTAAATTTACTAGGTTGCTTCTTTCAAAATTCGAAATTTAGATACAATTATAATAAAATTCGCAGATTTTTTCTGATTTATTTTTTTTTAATTTATAACTTTTTTTTAAATTTGAATTATAACCTATACAGTTTTTACCTCCTTAAAGTAGATGTATTTCTAGGCGTAGGTGTAAAAATTTAGAGGTTTTTTTTTTTTTAAATTTCTCAAAATAACAATAATTTATATATTGGGGTGTTCTGAAGTTTGTATATTTGTTGTAAGCGATAATAACACCAAATGAGGTTTACGCACTTTATTTAAATTATTTTAAAGTATGAACGATGCGTCTTTTTTTCCGCTCGTGCACATTAAAAGGCAAAGAACTACCATAAATTAAGAACTTCGCCAAGTGAATTATTCATGTCTCAAAAATGTGCGCCAAGATAAATTTTTAAATTTCTCGGCAAGTTTCTGGTCAAATTTTACAAAACTTAATATTTAGGCATAATTTGAGTCGTAGAATCAAATTATGGAAAAAAGAATCAATGTTTCATTTCAAGAACAGTCCAATTTTTTGTCAAAACTTCTATGTTAGAACAATGCTACATAAAAATCTAATATGTATCCTCTAAGTTGCGCTTTCGAGACATGAAAAACGCAATTTTGTCAATCTGCTCAGTAGACCGAAAGATATAGGACTTGCTTTTGTGTGTGTGCAAGGTGTACATCAATCAATTAACAAAATTAATTAAAATTTATCTTATTGTTAGTGTGCCGCGAAATTTTTAAATAATTAAAAGTGCACAGTAATGAGAAAATGTTGAGAATCACTGCTTTAAATTTGGAGGAAAGAGGAATTACATTTCATGGGAGGCTGACACGGATCGCTCTTCGTTCTAGGAACAAAAACATTACTTATACAGCTTAAAAATGTATGTCAAAGAAAAGGGCAATAGGCGTCCTATTCGTTTCATTATCCACAGTGTGAAGCAATATAAATAACTAAATAGAAAAAAATTTACTAATTACTAATTATTATAATTAGCATAATTACCAATTTTTATGTCACTTTTTAGATTATTTTTGATACTCATATAACCTTAACGTTCAAACAACCTTAATAATTCTGACCTATAATAATCCTGTTCTAAAATCAAAATCAGAACTTATGTTATATTATTAATGTTATCATTATGTATATAACATAAGTTCGATTTCACAGTTCATAAGTTCGACAGGTTATCAAGTAGTGAAGCACTGTCTTGCTAGGTTCACGAACATCTGGCAAGATGTTTTTAAAATTCTTCAACAATTTTTCCATAAGAATAACTAATGCTCAGCATTAAAAATTATGTTACCATTTGTAGAATTTTAGATTATTAGATTATTAGAGAAAGTTGTTTTTCGTAGTTATGTAAATTACCTTCAAGACCGAAGAAGAGTTCTCATGTAGAACTTTTTTTTCCTCCTTCATTGCAAAAATGGGACATTTAAGATACAAATAGAAAATTTATGAATATGGAATACACAGGCTCAATTATTAATTATTCGACCGTATTGTGAGCCATCTGGAAGCGACCACTTCCTTAAGAAACAATCGATGAAAGTGGCCGCAATTTCTTTGTTTCGCAATGCATACATTGGATTGTGCTGCAATTTTTCAAAGACCCTTTGTAAGCTATTTCAACATTTTATTCTTGACTTCGTCCGTTTTGTCCGAACTCTGAAACTCGTTTCTTAAAGTGAAAGCTTTCAGTTTCTCAAAAATCAGGTTATGAAGTAGTGAAGCACTGTCTTGCTAGGTTCACGAACATCTGGCAAGATCTTTTTAAAATTCTTCAACAATTTTTCCATAAGAATAACTACCGAAGTAATGTTCAATCCTAAAATTTCATTTTGTTTGCGGAAAATTCTTCGTAGTCTTGCGTTTTGAAACGAAGAAAACATTTTGAAAGCTAACAGCATAAATTGCAACGGAAATTTCAAGTGATAGATTACTTGCGACAGAATAGGGGTGTAAGTCGTTGAAACATTTTGCTATTAATGTTCATTCTGGAATGTCTGCAGCTTCTCAGCGTTCGATGTGCTTGACTTTTAGATCATTCTCTGTATGTTACTGGAAAAATTAAATAAGTTCAATTTGAGATAACGAGTCTAGAAGAAATAGAAAGTATAATTATGAATGAGTAATCGGAAAAATGATATTAACCAAAAATAAATTATCTCCAATTGGGAAAAAAATTATGTTTGATAAATGCAGTCGAGTAGTATTCTGAAGAAATTAAATGAAAAGATGAAATTATTTGGTTTTGAGCTGAGCCCAGGATCTTCTAATCTTTATAACCAAGCTGCTGTTATTACTGAGTTTTCGAAAACTGGCAACCAGATTCTATTAACAGTTCAGTCTTCGATTGAATTGGCACTGGTTTAAAAAGGGAAAATGAAAAACGGAAAAGAGGAGAAAACGAAAAAAAAAAAAAGAATTTATGAAATTTTCTGCAAATTAATACGGATTACACATCTTTAAATGCGAAAATTTATAAAGAACGCTGAAAGGAACAGAAACGTAATTAGTAATGCTGCTTGATATAATATTTAATGTAATTACAAATTATTATTCGTTTCGTTATCAGTTTTGTAATCGAAACTGCAAAACTAAACAAATACCAAACAGAAAAAATTATAATTAATTATTATAAATTACATACAAAACCAGTTCCAGTATCAAAAAGGGAAAAATCCTGACTGGCTCCGCCCAGCGATCGAACCTGGGACCTTCTGCGTGTAAATCAGACGTGATAACCACTACACTACGGAATCACACTGAGACGGGTTGTGAAAAGCTATAAAAAGGGGAACCAAGTCTTTGTGACTTTATTATTTTTAATTATTTTATTTTAAGTTTCCGTGATCTTGTTAATGGCATTTTTAGCTACTTAAGAATTAGTTATTTCAACTGCGTGATTATTGCATTATTGATTTTTTTTAAAAAAATTAATCGTATGTTTTATAGCATGGAAGAATTTCGATTATTTGTTTTTAAATGAAATATCTATTTCGACCGTTCTCCAATCCATTTTCACATTTTTTCTGCGTGACATCTGCTTTTAATTATTGTCTTATGCTCGGATCTTCTTTAAGTTACATATTTGTGATTTTTATTCTAAGTCCAGCATGGTACTATAAAGAAAAATTCCCCAAGTCACTCCATCCCGCTAATTCAACTAGAAACAGAGTTATTCCAATTGTAATTCAATTTCCTTTATTTACGTTTTCATTTCACATTTTTCTCCTCTCCAGTCCGTCGTATTAATCTCTAACCCATTTTTTCGTAACCCCCTCTTCAGCTCCTTTCTGAAAACCGCACATTTATTAGTATAAAAAATATTGCCCCCCCGTTCCATTTTGATATCAATGTAATATTAAACTCTAATCAAAACTTGAATAACTCTGCTTCTAATTAAGATAGAAACCTAATTCCTTCAGCCTTCCTCTTCTTAGTCCCATACGAATCTAACGATATATAGCACTTACTCGTGACATTTTTTTATTCCACCCCTTCCCATTTAGATAACAATTTAATATTAAACTCTAATTGAAAACTTGAATAACTCCGATCCTAATTAATATGATAATCCAATTCCTTCAGCCTTCTTCTTAGCCCGATACGAATCCAACGATTTATAACACTTCCTCGTAATCTCCCATCTTCCACCCCCTTCCAATTTGATCAATTTAATAAACTCCAATTATAAATTGAATAACTTCGCTCCTAAGTAACATTTTTAAGATCCAATTCAATTAATAACTGATACTAGAGACTTACTATCTAGTGCAATAGTGATCCTGTGACAACTGCTGCTTCACTGACATAAACACACAGTAACTGGTAGTGCTGTATTTTAGTAATTTCGCGTGACACTCTGTGATCTGTGTTTTTTACTTACACCCTCCTACCTTGCACATGTGCTACTCGGAACTGTGAATTAACGTAAGTGTTTATTACCTGCTGAAAATAGGTTATTAGTGACCAAGTGAATTAGTGGTCTAGTGAACAAATGCTGATCTAGTGAAACACTAACACAGATTTTCGCAGTGCTACATTTCAGTGAATTTGGATGACAATGATTGATGCAGATACCTCTGCAATTTTTTAGTATAGTAAACCACGATTCTCTGGTTAAATCCAGTACCGTTTCTCACGAAGAAAAGACTGAAACACTGCGCGCTCAGTGCACTCGGATAGCGCAATTAAAATGAGGAGGGAAATCTCTGCTTTTCCAAAACATACGGAATAGCTTACTGGATACACTACAGGCCCTAAGTCCCTGGCACTAGAAGGTCTCTTCTGTAGGGTATCAGCATAGGTCAAGGATTCCTCAGCCAGTACAGATAACGTGGTTACTAAGAACGCAATAGTCGTTGTTAATCCAGATACACTGAAAGAAGCTTCTCGTATTTCTCCTCCACAACTTAAATTCGCTGAAATCCTCAAACAACCAAGACCCTCATTAAGACAGACTAAACAGCCCAGCTTTCTGATTGTGTCAAAGGAGAACATTTCACACACTGAGCTAAAAGAAGAATTACGCACAAAGGCTCCGATTTTTCCTAAATTTCTAAACTTCCAGTGTCTGGAAAAGATTGTAGCACACAAGAAGGGCGGCTTCGAGGTGCTCTGAAAATCCTGGAAGACCTCACACAACTGGAGGCACAACTACAAAGGGCGGAACTACCGGCCGACATTCAACACAATACAAGATGAAAGCAACGTTGTGTGGTACGCAGTGTTGCAGAGAACACGAAGCCTGATGAAGTCGTGGATGAACTCAGTACAGCCACGGCAACCCCAAGAAACACCTTTAGGCCGCTCTTCAAGCATTCCACATACGAGAATGACCCTCAAGCACTCTAAACTTACGAAGCGAACTGAACAATTCATAAGTTCGTTATTCCCTTAGCAGCACATAGGAAGATCTCACAGCATGCACTACATCCCAGGACCTGGAGTCATTCGCCAGCTCTCTGATCTCCACAATACAGGACATCTTCAATAATACCTCTTCCCTGAAGACGCCGAAAACGCTGCATATGCCCAACTGGTGGACCAAAGATCTCCGAACGCAGCGCAGTAAAGCACACGCAATGAGAAGGCACATGAAAGCAGAATACGATCAAGAAGCTAGACTGGCACTCAGCATCACATACCGAAAGGCGTAAGCTGAATAAAAAGAGCAATTCTTATAGCAAAGCTTGTGTGTTGGAGAGACTGTTGCACTAATAGCATCGATACTTATGTTGCGCTATTCAAAATAGCACGAGGTAGTGTCTTTAAATCACGACAGCTACGCCTGTTTGACAGCACACCACCAGAGCAAGAGACTACAAAAGAGGCAGTACTCTCCAAGATCCTGGATGCAGTCTTTCTAAACGACAACCATGAAAAATTCACTGGAAATTCTCACCTGGCATACGAGCTCTTCACAACGGCAACTGATGAGCCTCGCTTTCAAGATCTGGAAGTCAGTGCTATCATGAGTATTCTGCCCAAGCGGAAAGCACCAGGCACGAAATCGCTTGATTACAGCATAATCAAACCTGTACACAAGGCAAAACCCGGATTCCTTTGTAAGTATTTCAACAAATTACTGGATCACAGATATTTTCCAGTGGCATTCAAAACGGAGCAAGTAGTCCTCTTTGCGAAACCTGAGAAGGATCCGAATGGCCTAGCCTCCTTTCGGCCGATATGCTTGCTGCCAGCAATAGGGAAGGTTTTCGAAAAGCTTGCCAGTCACGAGACTAAAGCACCACTTTACCCGGAAAATTTTCCTGTCACATCTACAGTTCGGTTTCAGGAAAAGCATGTCAACGGTCCATGCCCTCAATCTCCTGAAAAAAGAAATTATGGAAGCTCGCAGTAACAATCAACATGTAGGAGTATTAAGTTTAGACCTCCAGAGTGCATTTGATCACCTGTGGTGACCTGCAGTGCTCGAAGCTGACATCCCAACAATTTTTACAGTTATTTAAAAATTACCTCAGCAACAAACAATTTATAGTTGTGTACGATGTAGGAATCATTACCAAACAACAGATCAGGGGCTATCCACAGAGATCATGCGCCGGACCTGTCCTGTGGAACATGGCGTTCAATTCGATCTTGCACACTCAGTGGCCGGAGGGAGCGAAGGCATTTGCATCTGCAAATGATGCTACGTTCATTGTCAGAGAGCATAAAAGGACGATCTTGAAGCCCGCTGCAATGACGTCATCTCGCAGTTTGATATGCTCTGCAACCAAAAGAAGCTACGAATCTCGGAGCTCAAATCGAAATATATAATATTTCATAAACCTGGGCAGACCCTTATCCGCAATCTATGTATTAACGTTAGACAAAAGAGAGTAAAGCGAGTGAAAGAGCTAAAGCTTCTCGGTTTAATAATTGATGAAAAACTCTTCTGGCGCCCTCATCTACGAGCTCAACGCATTAAAGTCCATAGAATAGCCTCTCAAATAAAGAGCATGCAAAGCTCAGACTGAGGGTTCAGACTAGAGGGCACCGACCCCACATTCTAAAGATCATATACAGCACAGTGGCTGAAAAAATACTTATTTATGGGGCGGCCATATGGGTGCATCCAAAGACTACGAGGAAACAACAAATTTTGAACAGCGTTCAATGCCCATTTGTTTTGGCCATCATGAGAGCCAACAGGGCCACAGCGAAGCGCAGTAGGCACAGTGCTGGCTGGACTTATTACACTGCACATACGGGCCCAAATGAAAGCGGTCATCGCAAAAGTCACTCTCTTTAAGCAACCTGCTCAATACAAGAGCCTCCATTTCTTCCGGAGGACTTTGAGAACAATCTACAAATTGCGGAAGTACACCCGGCACTTTTCTGCAAGAATGTCCATGCTTACACAACGATTCATGAAGACAACAAGGACAACACTAACGCTCTTAGGATTTACACAGACGGCTCTCATGTGAATGAAATGACAGACTGTAGCTATATCCTCATCGGAAGTACTTTAAGGTCTTAGAAAGGCTTTCTGGGCGCAAGCAACTCAATCTTCCAGGCGGAAGCTCAAGCCCTACGCCAAGCAACCTTAGTAGCGGGTCAATTTACTAATTTACCGCACATATATACACCGACAACCTGTCAGCAATTTATGAAATTCGTAATCCTTTTCACAGATCGCCCATCATAGGGCACATTCAGCAAAACCCAGGACACTGCGAAGGACGCATCCTCATCTTCTGGATTAAAGCCCACGCTGGCCACCAGAGGAATGAGGAGGCAGATTTACTAGCCAAAGCAGCCGCTAGCAATCTCGATGCAGAACAGCTGGCAGTAAAATTACCAAACTCTTATGTAAAGAAGGCTGTTCTAAACGCCACAATAAAGCAATGGCAGGAAGAAGAAGAGTGGAATTGTATTCCGCAAGGAAGAAGGACCTATTATCAGGTTCAATGTTTCTTCTAACTTTCTTCGGAAACATACAATGACCTGACTAGAACAGAGAGCTTACTAAAGCTATGTTCACTAATTGTAGTAAGTAGACAGGATACAGACGAAGGGTATACAAAACCCTTTATTTTTTTTTCTTTATATACAATGACTTCCGTACTTCGGAATACAATGACCCTCCACTCGGGGTCTAACTTAAAAGATATCAAAATAAAACTAAACTCTAATTTAACTTTAGAATAAGATTGGCCTTATAATAACAGGAAGCGTATGTAGCACAGAGACTGTGAACACTACAATACGTTTAATTTATCAAGAGGATTAAAACCTCTGGCCTGGAAGG